ATAAACAGTTTTCACTTTTTAGAAAGATGAGTAAATACCTTACAATAACAATAATACGTTTTGCAGTTAGTTGGATTCAATGATTTGGCCACAATACCTTTATGGCCAGATTCACAGTTAAGGGGACATCATTGAGGGCAAACATGACAGGATTAGCCTTAAACAGATTGTTAAGAATGTTAAGGAAAACGAGCTTCAGGAGAACAAAAGTAAAATGTGCTCCCAAATTTGGGGATGAGTCCAGTAAGTCCCATTAAACAAACCAGTACAGGGTTTGGTGCATGGGGTTTGGTGTTTACACGTGTAGTAAATTATATATATAGTAAATATAGCTTGTCTTCTCTGGGGCAGTATAATTTCCTACATCATGTCCCATTATCCCTAAAAGAATGAATGTGGCAATCATCCACATTCCTCAGAATTAGTCCTAAAATAGAAAAGGCTCCTCTCTCTGAGGACAAAATGCATTTGTACTAAACTCTTAAGTGTATGGGAGATGGGAAAAGTACTTGTAGTGCAAGGAAACCAACCTGGGCCAGAAGTGAATGGACCCACACAGTCTCTGCATTTTTCCAGCAGCACAAGACCAGCAATGCAGAAGAATGGCCAGTTTCTGGAGTTCTATGATTTGGGGCTGCCCAAAATGAGAATATTTTCTTCAGGGCATGGAGGGAGATAGTGTATCCTAAATCTAGCACTTAACTAGCCAGGAGCAATGACTGCCCTTGGAACAAAAGGGTAGCACACCTCCTCAAAGCCAATGAGCATGCATCAGGAGGAGCTGTGCTTCAGAGTGTAGAGAACTCAAGGCTTCATCAGCAACACAGGATGCAACAAGATGGCAAGATAAGGAGGCCAGACTGTACAAACCACAGGAACTCCTTCCAGAACACATATCAGGCAAACTTAAAAACACACAAACCAAGGCATGATGGGAGGTGGGGGATTAAGTACAGAGTGGGGGTGATGAACGGCACATTGGACACACTTTGAAAGGGCTAATTTTCAGCCATAAATCCGTGGAAGACTTCTGCCATAAGAACGTTGTGATAAAAAACAAAATTGCATTTAGTTATATGATGGCATGATGATATAGGAATTACATATAATTTGGTAAAACTATCCCCTGGGACATCTACTTTATTTAAATCCTGTAAAACCAAGGAATGTGTGACTTCCGTGACTTCACAGAACAAATGGAAGCTATCACGGAATTCCCCTAATTTCTTGCCACAAAACTTGCACCTTTATAGACTCCTACATAAATATTTCACTCTTTTCTTCTATTACTGCAATGGATTGAATGTTTGTGTCCCTCCAAAATGCATATGTTGATACCCTAATCCCTAATGCGATGGTATTAGGAGTGGCCTTTGGGAAGTAACTAGGTCATGAGGCTGTAGCCCTCATAATGGGATTAGTGCCCTCATAAAAACAGACACCAGAGAACTTGCTTTCTCTCTCCGTCTCCACCATGGAAGCCCAGCAAGAAGGCCACCATCCGCAAGCCAGGGCCCCCACCAGGAACCAAATCAGTGGCACCTTGATCTTGGACTTCCCAGCGTCCAGAACTGTGAGAAATAAATGTTTGTTGTTTAATCCACCCAGTCTGTGGTATTTTTGTTAAAGCAGCCCAAGCAGACTACGACAATTACCATGGGAAAATTAAATTTAAAATTAATGATCCACCAGTACTTTGTGTGTTATCCCTTCCCACTTGCTCAAGAAGTTCAATCGCTTGCATATTCTTCCCTGCGTCTTCCACCTTTTCCTTTTCTATTTGCTTTTTCCTATCAGCAGGTAAATATGCTGAAGATTCCTTTTTTCTTAACAAACAAGAACATCTTTCTCTCAATCCCTATTCCTCACAGTCACTGTCTTCATTCCTTCCACTCACAAATCTCCTTAAATAAATAAATGTCAACTCTCTACATACTTCCTACCCCCTACTCATTCTTCAATCCATAGCAATCTGGCTTCTGCCCCTATTTTCCCCAAAAAGTGCCCTCCTCACTGTCACTTTGTTACTTGACTAATCACTAAATCAGATAACTTTCTTTGTTCTTATTTTATTTGGCTTTTCAGAAATATTTAATATTATGGGCCATTATCTCCTTCTTGAAACTCACCATACCCTCCCGGGTTTCTCTCTGACTCTTGCTCTCAATGCCCTTTACTGGTTCTTGCTCCCTCTGACTATTCCTATTCCTTCTTCTTCTAGATCATCCTTTATTCCCAATCTAAACATATCTCCTGGGCAGTGTCCTACATTCCCGTGGGTTTGGTGGCTACTTTGGTGTTTAGGACCATCAGTTTCCTATTGCTAATCCAGACCACACTTCTGTGCTGGACGGCTCCTATAGGCGTTCCCACGGCGTCTTAAATCTAATGTATTCAAATGAATTTATCATCATCTCTCACAAACTGGCTCATCATCAACTTAACTGCTGTAAGCAAAAGCCTAGATATTTTCCTTCTCTCCTTTTAACCCTCACCAAGCTTCCCTTTCGTCCACACACAAAAAAAAGTCAATCATAGTCTCCTCACTTCCAAAAGCAGATCTTGTCACAGTGCGGGCAAACAGGCACTCAGTATGTGTTAGACAGCACTTCCAGGATGCCAACCTTACTCCTTGGTATATATTCTCCACAACGCAACCTGAGTGATTTTCCTAAATAGAAATCTAATAAAGTCACTTGTCAAGTTAAAACCATTTTGTGGCTTCTGTTGCACATGGCATAAAATCCAAATCCATTAAGATAGTTTACCAGACCGTTCATGACCTGGCCTCTGTCACTCTCTCAGCCTTATCTCTCAAAGTTTATTCCTGCCCTCTATGTATGTTATAGTCACAGATAATTTCCTTCAGTTCCCTCCAAATCTCATGCTCTGGCATCTCCAAACTTTGCAAATGCAATTTCCCTCGTTTGAACATCTTTTCCCACTCCTCCTTGCCTGGTTAATGTGATCAGGTCCTAGCACTCATGGCCATGGCCTTGGTTATGAATACCCACAGATCTTGGAAAACCCAGAGCATGGCACTGTCGTAATTGTTAAATTGTCTGTCTCTGGCTCTGGGTTTTAAGCTCCATGAGGGAGGGAAGCATATGTATCCATATATATCTTGTTTACCTTTGTAAGTCCAGAAACTAGCAGACTTCTTGACTCATGGTAGGCACTTATTAACAATTTTGAGAGGCTGTATCAGTAAATGAATAAATAATTTAGACTGCTGAATGGCCTTACACACAGGAAAGGGTGCCCTGATCATCATCTAGTCTGGTAAGGAGTATGTGTTTGTTTACAAATCTGTCCTGTGTATTTTATTGACAGGAATCATCAGGGCTGTTTACCAGACCTTAAAAACCATTAATCCACTGAGCTGAAATCATCTCAGGCTGAGGCTAAATAAGTAAGCCTGCCTTTACTGCTTTTCAAACACAAATCCCATAGGCTGAGGTTTAAAGCAGGGATTGCGCACTCATGTGCCTATGGGGTCCAGATCAGCATAATATGTGAGTGACATGGGTAAACACATATGGTGTACGGTTCTCTTGCATTCTGAAAGGAGAATGCAGGCCTTTTCTAAAGGGAGCAGACATTGTTCAGCTGCTGTGAGTTATTCCCAGATCTTATGACTGGTTTTTTAAACCTGGAAATCTAAAATCTGCATGTGAGGGTACTCATTTTTAAATCCGGCTTATTAAAATAATGGGAAACAGCAAGAGAAACAATAGAAAAAATAAACAAATGGGACTACATCAAACTAAAAAGCTTCTGCACAGCAAAGGAAACCATCAACAAAACGAAAAGACAACCTA